CCCCCCCCCCCCCCCAACAAGGGTGTTCCATTAATGTTTTCTTCAGTCAACACCCCCCAACAAGGTGCACCCAGGAATTTATTTTTGATCGGGTTCTTTAAAATCGATAAAAGAAAAGTGGATCGTGTATGTTTAGTTACTTCATTGATTAACAATATTATACTTATCAAAAAATTTGCTAAATTTTTTTATCAAATCAACGTAGGTGTTCGAATTAATGGATCCTCTTAGCTTTTAGTAATTATCTAATGTTTGTCAACTTGCCACATCTCTTGTTATCTGAGATTCAGTAGAAATTTTGATCTTCATGTTATTATTCTTCTTTGATGCTTAGACACCTGTTAAACACAAAATTTTCTACACAAACCTATACGATTAATTAAAAAAAAGAAGACCGTTTGATGTCCGCTATTAAAATGTTTATAATACATATTCTTTCATCACAAATAACCATCCATAACTCATTCTTTTACTCTACTCAACTACCTCTACTTATTAAATATCAATATTGTCCTTTATTTCTTACCAAAAGACCACCCAACTCCCTTTTAAATTCTACATTCAACCGTCTAATTCTTTCTCCAAATCAGTAATCGTATCTGAATAAGGCTGATCAATGCATAAAGCTCTCAACACTATGGCCCGAGGGGTGTGTGTTTTTTGTATTATGTATCAATTCGCAGCACGTAAGATCAAGCTGAGCTTTAGGAGATGGTTATGAAGCGTGTAACCTAACTTGGTCATTACATTAACATAGATCTTATTATATATATATATATATATATATATACTAGTTATTGTCTGTGTCTGAAGGTACAAAGTAATAAAAAATAGAAAACAATAAAAATATTTGTATTTATATTCAAAATCAAATCATAAACATATAAAAGAAATGTAGTGGGAGTGAGAAGTAGCGGACGACAGTGGTGATAGTAGGAGACGGCGATAATTGTAGTGGGTGGTAATAACCGTGGTGGCGGTGAGGGCGGCTGCAGTAGTGGTGGTGGTGGTGGCTGCGACAGTGACGGTGGCAGTGGTGGGGGCGATGGGGGGCAATGGTAGTGGCGGTGGCGGTGGCGATGGTGGTGGCAGTGACGGTGATGGTGGTGGTGACGACGACGACGGTGGTGGCGATGACAACGGCAGTGGCGGTGGTGGTGGGGGTAGAGGTAGTGGTAGGACGATTTCAAACACTATTTTTTTTTAAAAAAAAAAACATTTATGAGAAATAATTTCTAAAAGTAGTTTTAAAAAATCACTTCAAAAATATCCTTAGGAGCCTATTTTTCCTATTAAATTTAAGGTGTTAATATTAGTCGTTAGATTAAATTTAAAAAAAAAAATTAAAGTGATCTGAACCACGAATAGTAAAAGTCATTTTATTTATCTTTTGAAATTTAAATTGTAAGATATTTTATTATATATATATATATATATCCACAGCTACTGTTCAAAACAGGTTATAACATCCCGTGCTTGTGAACATTCAAGATGAAAAAAGGCATAATATATCTCCAGCTAAATCAAATCTATAGATATGTAGATCAAGTCACATGATTGAGCCATTATTTTCATTTTGGCACTATGTTGATCTATATCTGATACATTTAGTAACTAGTGATTTTCTTTGGTTTTTATGTATAATAATAAATATTGTTATTGCTATCTTTGTTTATGATAAATAAAAAAATTATTATTGATCATTGCACGATAAAAAATAATTTATCTGATAATTTCTTACAAGAAACTGAAACTGTTTAGAACGCCTTATAATAAGTAGTTCTGGAATGAGCCCACCAAAAATGGTCACTTTGGAATTAAAAGGAATACAAAAAGAAAAAGTAAGAGATATAAGCAATCTTATTTGTATTGCGTGACCATTTTTGTCATTTAATAAGAAAGTGATATTTTTTAATGTTTCGTTTTTTTTTATCTGGGCATTGGCTCAACATGAAAATTCTAAGTCAAGGCATATCGTTTAATGTATGTACCAAAATATCCTGATAGGTTGTGGGGAAAGAATGGTCTATAAAAGGGCGGGTTTAGGGAACCAAGTTCTTCAACTAAGAAGGGAAAGCTTTAGTGCATCAAAAACACATCATGGCTTTGGAAGACAATGGTTCTGATGACTACACACAGGATGGGACTGTGGATCTCAAAGGGAACCCTGTCCGCAGATCCAAACGAGGTGGATGGACTGCTTGTTCCTTTGTTGTTGGTACTCTCCCTCCCTCTCTCTCTCTCTCTCTGGGTGTGTTTGTCTGTCTGTCACTGTTCAATTGTTTGTGATAGGGGGTCACCCACTAGTGTAGAAGTTAGCTTTTCAGGCACTGGTACATATCCACAATGGCTCCATGAAATTGGAAGTTTGTGGTTTTTTGTTATTGGGTTTGTAGGACTGTTGCTTTTGGAGTTTAGTGGGTGGTCCAGGAACAAAGATTGGCTTTTGTTTTGCAGTGATGCGTTTGTTGCATAGTGTGAATTAGCAGTTCTTTTCTCTCTCATTAAGCATCTGGAGTTGAATAAATTTTTGCAGGGAAGAACCTTTTGACGACTGTGATCTATATTACTTATTGTAATTAGTTTTAGGAGAAGTTTACGTGGCGAATTTAGAGCATGAAGAATGTGAGAAACAGATAAAGATGATCATAGGTCAACTTCAAGAAATGAAAAGATCAGAAAGTGTAGTGTTGGATTCGCATTCAACGATATTTAGTTTCACTTTTCCAAGATATTTTTGGTGTCTTGACTCTTTTTGGTGGGGTGAGAACAATCAATGGGCCCAAAGGTCAAAACCTATTACATGGTGCTCACATGTACTCTCTCTCTCACACAACACATACAAAGACAATACACACGACGTGTAGGCCTACCAACTTTAGAACAACCTCTCAACTTACAACGAATAAATAAGTCGCTTATGAGTGGAACAATTTTTAACTCGATAAACTTTGTTAAACATAACATGAACCAGATATGATTTGTGCGATTACTAACCGGGTATTATGCATAACTAGAGTAATATGGCACAAGGAACCCTACTATTTCATTTTTTTTAGGTGGTCCATATAAGTATGTTACCTTTATTCGTCCTATCACATTTTTCCAATTGCGCACTTTGTCACCTACAACAATCACCCTCATAATATACTTTTTGTCTCCAAAACCAACTTTTAGAATGAACCAAGGCTCCAAGATATAGATTTGAATTTCTTTCAATATATTTTGCAGTTTGAATTTCTTTCAATATATTTTGCAGTAATCACCATAAATTCATTTGGACCCACTTTGTAGAACTTTCCTATCATTAACATAATACCTTGATTTACTACTATTGAAAAAACTTGGACAAGAGAAGATTAGGGTCCCCACCCACCCAAACCAAGCTTCAAAGTGGCTGTACTGGTAGACCTTGCAATACATCTTAATGTTACAACCACTCTCCAACTAACTTGCAACTATTATCTATGTAGATTGAGTTGGGAGGACCTATATATGTCATTCATATAATATACTTCTTGTAATTTCCAAAACAATTGATGCAACTGGTCCAACAGATTTGATTATGTGGCAAATCGTCTTGATTTGAACATTCATTTTGTTGATTTTTGGTGCAGTATATGAGGTGTTTGAACGGATGGCTTTCCATGGCATATCAGCAAATTTGGTGCTTTATCTCACCAAGAAGCTCCACCAGGGCACAGTGACGTCAGCCAATAATGTCACCAACTGGGTTGGGACAGTTTGGATGACTCCAATCTTGGGTGCATACGTAGCTGACGCCCATTTAGGACGGTATTGGACCTTTGTCATCGCATCTGCAATCTATTCTGTGGTATGTACAATTATTATATACTCTATTATTTATATACATATACATATATACGNAATACACACTACGTGTAGGCCTACCAACTTTAGAACAACCTCTCAACTTACAACGAATAAATAAGTCGCTTATGAGTGGAACAATTTTTAACTTGATCAACTTTGTTAAACATAACATGAACCAGATATGATTTGTGCGATTACTAACCGGGTATTATGCATAACTAGAGTAATATGGCACAAGGAACCCTACTATTTCATTTTTTTTAGGTGGTCCATATAAGTATGTTACCTTTATTCGTCCTATCACATTTTTCCAATTGCGCACTTTGTCACCTACAACAATCACCCTCATAATATACTTTTTGTCTCCAAAACCAACTTTTAGAATGAACCAAGGCTCCAAGATATAGATTTGAATTTCTTTCAATATATTTTGCAGTTTGAATTTCTTTCAATATATTTTGCAGTAATCACCATAAATTCATTTGGACCCACTTTGTAGAACTTTCCTATCATTAACATAATACCTTGATTTACTACTATTGAAAAAACTTGGACAAGAGAAGATTAGGGTCCCCACCCACCCAAACCAAGCTTCAAAGTGGCTGTACTGGTAGACCTTGCAATACATCTTAATGTTACAACTACTCTCCAACTAACTTGCAACTATTATCTATGTAGATTGAGTTGGGAGGATCTATATATGTCATTCATATAATATACTTCTTGTAATTTCCAAAACAATTGATGCAACTGATCCAACAGATTTGATTATGTGGCAAATCGTCTTGATTTGAACATTCATTTTGTTGATTTTTGGTGCAGTATATGAGGTGTTTGAACGGATGGCTTTCCATGGCATATCAGCAAATTTGGTGCTTTATCTCACCAAGAAGCTCCACCAGGGCACAGTCACGTCAGCCAATAATGTCACCAACTGGGTTGGGACAGTTTGGATGACTCCAATCTTGGGTGCATACGTAGCTGACGCCCATTTAGGACGGTATTGGACCTTTGTCATCGCATCTGCAATCTATTCTGTGGTATGTACAATTATTATATACTCTATTATTTATATACATATACATATATACGTGTGTGTGTGTGTGTGTGATAGTGTTTCATTATGTTCGGTAGAGATAGAATGGTAGCTTAGCCAGCAAAGTCTTGTTTGGAAGACTCCTTGCACAAAACACATTTTTATGAAAATAACGGTGGTAAATCTATAATATTTTCGTAATTAAGTTCCCAAACAATAATAGAGTAAGAATTAACCCTATATAACTTCTAATTGACTCAATATCCTTGAAAATTCCTAAAACAGGGCCCGCCCAACAGTAATAAAAAAAATGTGGATTTAAGACCCCAAAATTTTAAATACATAACTAGTCCACATAAAAAATTTAAGTCCAATCAAAAAATTATAATTTCAATAATTTTAGCCTACAATTCAATTCATAACATTAGAAACTCAAAATCAAAAATTTTAAAAACAAATAAAAAAATATTCAAAAGTCAACTCATATTTAACTCACATCCATTCTCTCTCTTAAAAAATAAAAATAAAATATCACATCCTCCTCTCTCACTTAAAAAAATTAAAAATATTTTTTATTTTTTTTAAAATAATATTAAAAATAAAAAAATCTCATTTAATATTACTATTTTAAGCTTTAAATTATCGTGAGTCCTCCCTGTCCTAAACCTTTCACATTAAATGTTAGTTATTTTAGACTAAACACTGAGACTTTCAAACAAAATTCCAAAGTCAATACTTGTAAAGTATTTCACACACGTTTATCTAAGGAATGCATATAGGAGAAAGTACATGGATTCAGTACTACACCTTAGACCTTTCCAATGTACCCAAAAAGAAAAAAATTTACTACACCTTACCCCCATCTTAGTCACAAGAATTTTATATTTCATGTCATAATGGGTGTTTTTAGTCAAGTTTTTTATTATTCTTTTGATAAATTTGAAAACTTGAAAAAAAATTATGTTTATTGAATTTAGACATGACAACTTCTGTTGTTACTTGTCTAACACCGAGTTTTAAGTCCAAATCGTCGTCTTCAACACATCACCATCGATGCTTAATTTTATTAATTAAGAGGCGTTCGATGATCATTTGAAATAGCTTTAAAATTTTTGTTTAATAATCATATGTCCACCTCTAAATTAAGGTACCCGTTACATGTTAATGTCTTTGGCATTCGATGAATGATTTGTTCAATTATTTTCGTGCATGGGGTCATTAGATTATGACCTTGTTAAGAGCTTATTACAAATATAGTGGTTATGTGTCCCACATCGTTTCACGTGACAGAGCTAAGAGATTGACCATCCATGTAGATTATCATTGTTGAAGGGAAAGTTTGACTACTTAAACCACTTGAATAATATCTTCGATTATTGATTTATGTCAGGGCCGGTCCAGAAAATTAAAAAAAAAAAAGTACGGACTTTAAGTCCTAAATTTTTAGAAAGTTTTATAATTTTAGGAACATAACTAACCCATAAAAAAAATTAAATCCATTAAATTTTAAGTTTTTAAAAAAAAACCAAAAAATAAATCTAATCAAAATTTTTATTGTAATAATTTTGGCATATAATTCAATCCATCACATTAAAAACTTAGAAATTAAAAAAAAAAAAACCTCAAAAGTCAACTCTCTCTCTCTCTCTCTCTTTGTGCGATAAAAAAAAAATTAAAATTAAACACTTTCTCTCCCTCTTTGTGCTAAAAAACAATAACAAACGTTGAAATCTCTTTTTCGACAATATTAACACATCTTTCTTTTGTTTCTCTCTCACATAAAAAATTAAAATAAATTAATTTTTTTTTTTAAATAATACTAAAAATAAACATCTCTATTTAATATTTTCACTTTAGGCCTCAAAATTTGCTTGAGCCGCCCCTGATTTGAGTTTCATCGTAGTTTATTATGCTACTCATCAACTTTTTTCCATTTTTCACAACAAATGAGGGTATAAATGGATTCCACAATGTCAAGAGATGTGATTTTTCCTTTCTCACTTAGACAGAATTTTATTTTTGTTCTAATTATTCGTAAGAAATTCGATAGAAGTCAACGATTGAGTCAATAAGAAACTCAAGCCAATAGTTTAAGATTCAATACATTTTTGCGTGCAACCAATATTGACTAAATAAAAAAGAGATAAGACTGGATTTACAACATAAGCTTGAATTATACACACTCACACACACACACACACACACACACACATTATGTATATATATATATATATATATATATATATGAGTTATTTTTTTAGTATTATACTAAAAGTTACTGTTTATTTTGTTAAGATTTCGGCTTAGTTATATGAGATTATGACTCAATGGTATCGTTTCTAATCGATCCCAAAAATAGGAACCATCCTAAATTTTTACTATGTACACACACATTATCACAAAGTTTGTAACTTAATAGGCTCTCTGATTTACAAAAGTTACTACCCATAACTAATTAATTTTTAGTAAAGCTTAGTAGGAAGCACCTATTCTATTGATCATATATTTAGAAGTAATTCTTCATATTTTTCCTTTTTAAGCACTTTTTTCTAAGAAGCTTATGTTACACCTTTCTCAACCTTTTGGCTAAGATCAAGTATGTTATTACATTTTTTGCTTAAAAAATGAATAATGTAAGACAATCCATCCTATATTCACATTGGGTTTCTTTTGATATGATGATAGGGAATGTCTGTTCTAACACTATCAGTTTCAATCCCTGGACTAAAGCCCCCTCACTGTGTGGATCCAAATGTAGAGAATTGCAAGAAGGCATCCACAATACAACTAGCTGTATTTTATGGTGCCCTCTACACACTGGCTATAGGTACCGGTGGGACAAAGCCGAACATCTCGACCATCGGAGCCGACCAATTCGACGATTTCGAACCAAAGGAGAAAGTTCACAAGCTCTCCTTCTTCAACTGGTGGATGTTCAGCATCTTCTTTGGGACACTGTTTTCCAACACAATTCTTGTGTACATACAAGACAATGTGGGCTGGACCCTGGGTTACGGGCTTCCCACCGTGGGCCTTGCAATATCAATACTGATCTTCTTGGCGGGCACGCCATTTTATCGACACAAGGTGCCCACTGGGAGTCCCTTCACAAGGATGGCTAGGGTTCTAGTGGCTGCCGTAAGGAAGTGGAGGCTACCCCTTCCTGCTGACCCTAAAGAACTCTATGAGCTTGATTTTGAAGAATACACCAAGAAGGGAAAGTTTAGGATTGACTCCACACCCACCTTAAGGTTAGTATCCAACTCTCAATTTTTCTTGTCATTTTGGTTTAAGCCCAGGAGCAAGTGGGTTCTCTGTTAAGCCCAAAGTCTTTGGTTCGCCCATTACAAGGATCTAATCCTACATAGTTCATAAGGTTGTTATGGACTTTGTTTCGGCCTATATTTCTAGGCTTGTCAAAGGATCTCATTCTATTTAACTATTTTATACGAATTTTATTTTTACATTCATATCCTAACCCGGTAGGATTAGCATTTCATCCTATCCAAGTAACATAATCAAAGATATCGGATATTGGTGAATGCAAATGTGTTGTTAAATTTGATGTAAGGGGTTTACATTTAGATAATCTATTAAAAGCATTAATCTATATTCAATCAATTAGATTCAATTCAAATTCAGATTCAATCCAGATTGAATTTGATCCATTGATAGGGCTTTGGGCTTTTCTAGGCACATTTTGCAACCTAGGTTTGTAATGCTTCGATAATGTTCTAATGCACACATTATTGCAGGTTCCTCAACAAAGCTTGTGTTAAAACAGGATCAACCAATCCATGGATTTTGTGTTCAGTAACTCAAGTCGAGGAAACCAAGCAAATGTTGCGAATGATACCAATCTGGGTGGCCACATTTGTTCCAAGCACAATGATTGCTCAAATTAATACCCTTTTTGTCAAGCAAGGGACCCTTCTCAACCGAAACATCGGTAGCTTCAAAATTCCTCCGGCAAGTTTATCCGCGTTTGTAACGATCTCCATGCTCGTCTGCATCGTGTCATATGATCGAGTCTTTGTTCCAATCATGAGGAAATTGACCAAGAACCCTAGAGGCATCACTCTCCTCCAAAGAATGGGAGTTGGTATTGTCCTCCACATTACTATCATGACAGTTGCTTCATTAAGTGAGATGCATAGGCTTAATGTGGCCAAGGACCATGGTCTAGTCAAAAATGGAAAGCCGGTACCTCTGTCAATTTTCATTCTACTTCCTCAATTTGTGCTTATGGGCACTGCGGATGNTGTTACACCTTTCTCAACCTTTTGGCTAAGATCAAGTATGTTATTACATTTTTTGCTTAAAAAATGAATAATGTAAGACAATCCATCCTATATTCACATTGGGTTTCTTTTGATATGCTGATAGGGAATGTCTGTTCTAACACTATCAGTTTCAATCCCTGGACTAAAGCCCCCTCACTGTGTGGATCCAAATGTAGAGAATTGCAAGAAGGCATCCACAATACAACTAGCTGTATTTTATGGTGCCCTCTACACACTGGCTATAGGTACCGGTGGGACAAAGCCGAACATCTCGACCATCGGAGCCGACCAATTCGACGATTTCGAACCAAAGGAGAAAGTTCACAAGCTCTCCTTCTTCAACTGGTGGATGTTCAGCATCTTCTTTGGGACACTGTTTTCCAACACAATTCTTGTGTACATACAAGACAATGTGGGCTGGACCCTGGGTTACGGGCTTCCCACCGTGGGCCTTGCAATATCAATACTGATCTTCTTGGCGGGCACGCCATTTTATCGACACAAGGTGCCCACTGGGAGTCCCTTCACAAGGATGGCTAGGGTTATAGTGGCTGCCCTAAGGAAGTGGAGGGTGACNGTATCGTTTCTAATCGATCCCAAAAATAGGAACCATCCTAAATTTTTACTATGTACACACACATTATCACAAAGTTTGTAACTTAATAGGCTCTCTGATTTACAAAAGTTACTACCCATAACTAATTAATTTTTAGTAAAGCTTAGTAGGAAGCACCTATTCTATTGATCATATATTTAGAAGTAATTCTTCATATTTTTCCTTTTTAAGCACTTTTTTCTAAGAAGCTTATGTTACACCTTTCTCAACCTTTTGGCTAAGATCAAGTATGTTATTACATTTTTTGCTTAAAAAATGAATAATGTAAGACAATCCATCCTATATTCACATTGGGTTTCTTTTGATATGATGATAGGGAATGTCTGTTCTAACACTATCAGTTTCAATCCCTGGACTAAAGCCCCCTCACTGTGTGGATCCAAATGTAGAGAATTGCAAGAAGGCATCCACAATACAACTAGCTGTATTTTATGGTGCCCTCTACACACTGGCTATAGGTACCGGTGGGACAAAGCCGAACATCTCGACCATCGGAGCCGACCAATTCGACGATTTCGAACCAAAGGAGAAAGTTCACAAGCTCTCCTTCTTCAACTGGTGGATGTTCAGCATCTTCTTTGGGACACTGTTTTCCAACACAATTCTTGTGTACATACAAGACAATGTGGGCTGGACCCTGGGTTACGGGCTTCCCACCGTGGGCCTTGCAATATCAATACTGATCTTCTTGGCGGGCACGCCATTTTATCGACACAAGGTGCCCACTGGGAGTCCCTTCACAAGGATGGCTAGGGTTCTAGTGGCTGCCGTAAGGAAGTGGAGGCTACCCCTTCCTGCTGACCCTAAAGAACTCTATGAGCTTGATTTTGAAGAATACACCAAGAAGGGAAAGTTTAGGATTGACTCCACACCCACCTTAAGGTTAGTATCCAACTCTCAATTTTTCTTGTCATTTTGGTTTAAGCCCAGGAGCAAGTGGGTTCTCTGTTAAGCCCAAAGTCTTTGGTTCGCCCATTACAAGGATCTAATCCTACATAGTTCATAAGGTTGTTATGGACTTTGTTTCGGCCTATATTTCTAGGCTTGTCAAAGGATCTCATTCTATTTAACTATTTTATACGAATTTTATTTTTACATTCATATCCTAACCCGGTAGGATTAGCATTTCATCCTATCCAAGTAACATAATCAAAGATATCGGATATTGGTGAATGCAAATGTGTTGTTAAATTTGATGTAAGGGGTTTACATTTAGATAATCTATTAAAAGCATTAATCTATATTCAATCAATTAGATTCAATTCAAATTCAGATTCAATCCAGATTGAATTTGATCCATTGATAGGGCTTTGGGCTTTTCTAGGCACATTTTGCAACCTAGGTTTGTAATGCTTCGATAATGTTCTAATGCACACATTATTGCAGGTTCCTCAACAAAGCTTGTGTTAAAACAGGATTAACCAATCCATGGATTTTGTGTTCAGTAACTCAAGTCGAGGAAACCAAGCAAATGTTGCGAATGATACCAATCTGGGTGGCCACATTTGTTCCAAGCACAATGGTTGCTCAAATTAATACCCTTTTTGTCAAGCAAGGGACCCTTCTCAACCGAAACATCGGTAGCTTCAAAATTCCTCCGGCCAGTTTATCCGCGTTTGTAACGATCTCCATGCTCGTCTGCGTCGTGTTATACGATCGAGTCTTTGTCCCAATCATGAGGAAATTGACCAAGAACCCTAGAGGCATCACTCTCCTCCAAAGAATGGGAGTTGGTATTGTCCTCCACATTACTATCATGACAGTTGCTTCATTAAGTGAGATGCATAGGCTTAATGTGGCCAAGGACCATGGTCTAGTCAAAAATGGAAAGCCGGTACCTCTATCAATTTTCATTCTACTTCCTCAATTTGTGCTTATGGGCACTGCAGACGCATTTCTAGAGGTTGCAAAGATTGAGTTTTTCTATGATCAAGCACCCGAGAGCATGAAGAGTCTCGGAACTTCTTATGCCATGACTAGTCTAGGAATGGGGAGTTTTATTAGCAGCTTCGTTCTTTCAACAGTTTCTCATGTCACCAAGAGGCATGGTCACCATGGATGGATTTTGAACAACCTTAACGCTTCTCATCTCGACTACTATTACGCATTTCTCGCGATACTCAACTTCTTGAATTTGATTTTTTTCGTGGTAGTGACCAAGTTCTATGTATATAAGGCCGAAGTGTCGGATTCAATGGCGGTACTTAGAGAATCACTGGGAGGAACAACAAATAGAATAGCTGACCAAGAAGCAAGAAGAACCAATGTTGAAATGACAAGTTAATTAGCAAGAACATAATGTTATGCAAAAAAAAACTACATTTCAACTTTGCAGACAATGTATTTTACGTGGCTTGTTAGAACTCTTACCTACTCTGCATAAGAGTTACAATTTCTATTCTAGCACTTTAGAATCCTAATCTTGGTGTGTTGCACATGAATATTCAATGGAAATACCCCACGTAACTATGCTGTGGAACTACCTCGCCCCTAACTTTTTTTTCGACTCTAGCAAATAAAAGGTGTTATCATTCATGTGGATGGATATCCGTTCTACTTCGCTGATGTGAGGTAGGAAAGCGGGTAGAAGCACGGGTATAATGAAAGAAAAGAGCATAATGAAATTATATTATTGATTTGCACATAAATACCGGTTTAGATTCTTATTTTAGAGATGTTGATTCATAAGAATATCAATTCTAAAAGCTTCAATTCATTGTTATCAGAACCGGATCGGACCCGTCAGTTGTACCAATTCAACCGTGATCCGGGGACCTTAACTAGCCTGGTTCTTTAATTGGACCGTATAAGGAAGAGAACCGGTTAAAAACTAAAAAATAAAATTACTTATATTAGAATCATTTTTTTATTTGGGGCAATTTTTTGCCCTAAATCGAAGAAAACACCAGCAACCTATTAGATCTGAAGAGAGAGAGAGAGAGAGAGAGAAAGAGAGATGATTTGGGATGGAGGATCAACACCGTCTTNATACACCAAGAAGGGAAAGTTTAGGATTGACTCCACACCCACCTTAAGGTTAGTATCCAACTCTCAATTTTTCTTGTCATTTTGGTTTAAGCCCAGGAGCAAGTGGGTTCTCTGTTAAGCCCAAAGTCTTTGGTTCGCCCATTACAAGGATCTAATCCTACATAGTTCATAAGGTTGTTATGGACTTTGTTTCGGCCTATATTTCTAGGCTTGTCAAAGGATCTCATTCTATTTAACTATTTTATACGAATTTTATTTTTACATTCATATCCTAACCCGGTAAGATTAGCATTTCATCCTATCCAAGTAACATAATCAAAGATATCGGATATTGGTGAATGCAAATGTGTTGTTAAATTTGATGTAAGGGGTTTACATTTAGATAATCTATTAAAAGCATTAATCTATATTCAATCAATTAGATTCAATTCAAATTCAGATTCAATCCAGATTGAATTTGATCCATTGATAGGGCTTTGGGCTTTTCTAGGCACATTTTGCAACCTAGGTTTGTAATGCTTCGATAATGTTCTAATGCACACATTATTGCAGGTTCCTCAACAAAGCTTGTGTTAAAACAGGATTAACCAATCCATGGATTTTGTGTTCAGTAACTCAAGTCGAGGAAACCAAGCAAATGTTGCGAATGATACCAATCTGGGTGGCCACATTTGTTCCAAGCACAATGGTTGCTCAAATTAATACCCTTTTTGTCAAGCAAGGGACCCTTCTCAACCGAAACATCGGTAGCTTCAAAATTCCTCCGGCCAGTTTATCCGCGTTTGTAACGATCTCCATGCTCGTCTGCGTCGTGTTATACGATCGAGTCTTTGTCCCAATCATGAGGAAATTGACCAAGAACCCTAGAGGCATCACTCTCCTCCAAAGAATGGGAGTTGGTATTGTCCTCCACATTACTATCATGACAGTTGCTTCATTAAGTGAGATGCATAGGCTTAATGTGGCCAAGGACCATGGTCTAGTCAAAAATGGAAAGCCGGTACCTCTATCAATTTTCATTCTACTTCCTCAATTTGTGCTTATGGGCACTGCAGACGCATTTCTAGAGGTTGCAAAGATTGAGTTTTTCTATGATCAAGCACCCGAGAGCATGAAGAGTCTCGGAACTTCTTATGCCATGACTAGTCTAGGAATGGGGAGTTTTATTAGCAGCTTCGTTCTTTCAACAGTTTCTCATGTCACCAAGAGGCATGGTCACCATGGATGGATTTTGAACAACCTTAACGCTTCTCATCTCGACTACTATTACGCATTTCTCGCGATACTCAACTTCTTGAATTTGATTTTTTTCGTGGTAGTGACCAAGTTCTATGTATATAAGGCCGAAGTGTCGGATTCAATGGCGGTACTTAGAGAATCACTGGGAGGAACAACAAATAGAATAGCTGACCAAGAAGCAAGAAGAACCAATGTTGAAATGACAAGTTAATTAGCAAGAACATAATGTTATGCAAAAAAAAACTACATTTCAACTTTGCAGACAATGTATTTTACGTGGCTTGTTAGAACTCTTACCTACTCTGCATAAGAGTTACAATTTCTATTCTAGCACTTTAGAATCCTAATCTTGGTGTGTTGCACATGAATATTCAATGGAAATACCCCACGTAACTATGCTGTGGAACTACCTCGCCCCTAACTTTTTTTTCGACTCTAGCAAATAAAAGGTGTTATCATTCATGTGGATGGATATCCGTTCTACTTCGCTGATGTGAGGTAGGAAAGCGGGTAGAAGCACGGGTATAATGAAAGAAAAGAGCATAATGAAATTATATTATTGATTTGCACATAAATACCGGTTTAGATTCTTATTTTAGAGATGTTGATTCATAAGAATATCAATTCTAAAAGCTTCAATTCATTGTTATCAGAACCGGATCGGACCCGTCAGTTGTACCAATTCAACCGTGATCCGGGGACCTTAACTAGCCTGGTTCTTTAATTGGACCGTATAAGGAAGAGAACCGGTTAAAAACTAAAAAATAAAATTACTTATATTAGAATCATTTTTTTATTTGGGGCAATTTTTTGCCCTAAATCGAAGAAAACACCAGCAACCTATTAGATCTGAAGAGAGAGAGAGAGAGAGAGAGAAAGAGAGATGATTTGGGATGGAGGATCAACACCGTCTTCATCAGCTGCAACAACAGCAGTTGGGAGGAGGAAGCCAACGTGGAGGGAGAGAGAGAACAACAGGATCTGAAAATAGGCGAATTGAAGGTTTTCTTGATCTGCTTTGACGATTCCTACTTGATTTCATTTAGATCTGAAAATTTGGGAAATGGGTTATCCTTATTTGCATCGAGACTGTTATTCTTCTGAAACAGTGTGGTTGTTTATCTCTGTTCCCTTGTTCTGAAACAGTGTGGGGTTTGTTGGATAGTGGATCAAGTTGTTTAATTGCTGATTTATTTGTCTTGTTTGTGTTGTGAAGGTCCTGCTTTCAAAAACTAAATTGCATCCGAATTAACTGCCTTGTTGATCCTTCATGAATTTCAAATCTTAACCGGGGGTGTGGGGTGAACTATTTTCTTATGACCAGATTGTATATCTTAAGACTTGCTTAGTTTTATTGGGCACCACAAAATCAATATATTTTTTTAAGATTTGCTCAGTTTTATTGGGTAATTGAAATGCTCTATTATTGATGTTAGTGTGCTACTATTGTATTTTAGACATATTTTATATTTTTTAGTTAAATTATTATATTTTATAATTATTATATATATATTTTATTATATGACCGGTCCGACCAATTGACCCACCTGTTGAAACATTGAACCATTGACCTCGTCTCTCAGCCGGTTTGATGACCGGACCGGTTCTGATAACATTGCTTCAATCGATCAATTNTTATTATGTTTTATAATATATATATATATATATATATATATATATATATATATATTATTATATGACCGGTCCGACCAGTTGACCCACCTGTTGAAACATTGAACCATTGACCTCGTCTCTCAGCCGGTTCGATGACCGGACCGGTTCTGATAACATTGCTTCAATCGATTAGTTGATTTCTTCGAATACTAGAATAATTGGGAAGAAGAAAAGAAAAATCTCTCAATATTATTAATTCACCAAAAACTATTTTGTCCTAGTACTTACCAGACTTTATATAATAGCAAAAACGCTAAACTAATTAGGAAACTAGAATCCTAATTAAATTAAGAAACCAAATAAAATAAAACCATAATTAAACCAAAAAATAAAATAATATAATTAGCTAATTAAGTTAGGAAATAAAATAAAATCTTATAAAATTCCCTAACTGAACAGGATTGACCACGTTCAAATAAAACAACAAAATTTATGTCATTCGTTCTGCATCATTCTCCCAAAGTTAAAAGGAATTCACCCTTGAATTTAGCTTTGATATTGAATTCTTTGCTTAAATTTAGGCTTTCAACCAACCTATTGAATTTGGTTTCGATACATGGGCCTTGTCTTAATTTTGGCCTTCGATTGACCCAAAATTTTTCTCCTTAAAATACTCCAGAAACCCAAAATTTTTCTCCTTAAAATACTCCAAAAACCATGTTTTGCTCCATGTCTGCCTTTAGATCTGTTAGGAAATTCACTGGAAATTCTCAAACTTGTGAAAAATAACAATAGAGAAAACACACGCTAAAGAAAAATAATCACACGCACAAGACAATATTTACGTAGTTCGACAATTTGCCTACGTTTATAAAACTGCAGGGGTTTCACTATTCTTAAGAACGATTACAGAAAGGGCGGCGGCCGTATAAAGTCAATCAAACCCTAATCACCCAAAAGAAACAGGTTTTATATGTCTTGCACCGAACTACAAACAAATCAGTCCAAGGCTTCACTCCATGGACTAAGTCTCAGAAAATTTCCCATTAAAAATCACTCCACATTTTTCGGGTCGGATCATCATCCGGATCAACATAAAAAACTAGACTCCACAAAAAACCCAACAAATCTCTCACTTGGAGACTAGTTCAATCACCAACATCAATTGCAATCCTCCCAAGAAAAGTCCCTCATCCGTGCAACTTATCTTCATGTCCTCAAGCTAGAAGGCCAACTGAAACTGCACACAGCTTCAGCTTCTCAATAGTGACAACTTTGGTCAACATGTCTGCCAGGTTCTTAGCTCTACAGATCTTCTCAAGTATCAACTGACCATCATCAAGCAAGGACCGTATGAAATGATACCTGATCTGAATGTGCTTCGTCCTGGAATGAAACGTCGGATGCTTGGCAAGGAATATGACACTCTGACTATCACTGTAAAGAGTACCCTTCTATTTCTTTTTACCCAGTTCCTCTAAGAAATCTGTAACCAAATCATCTCCTTTGAAGCCTCTGACACTGCAACATACTCGGCCTCTGGAGTAGAAAGTGATACTGTCTTCTGCAAGTTAGAACCCCAAGACACGGCAATACCACCCAAGGTGTACACAAAATCGGTGGTGCTCTTCCTACTATCAGTGTCTTCGGCCAAGTCAGCATCAACAAAACCATGTAACTCCAAAGTATCTCTGGTGTAACACAAGCATGCTTCTGAGGAACCTTTCAAGTACCTCAGAATCCACTTCACAGCCTCCCAATGTTGTCTTCCTGGATTGCTCATGTACCTACTCATAACTCCCATTGCATGGGCAATGTCCGGTCTTGTGCAAACCATAGCATACATTAGTGAACCAATAGCTGAAGCGTAAGGAACCTTACTCATGTGATCATGTTCCTCCTCTGTTTTGGGTGACTGATCTTTGCTGAGTCTGAAATGATTACCCAGCGGTGTGCCAACTGGTTTGACTTGATCCATGTTGAATCTACTGAGTACCTTTGTCACATACTCGGCCTACGACAGTTTCAACGTGCCCTTAACTCTGCCTTTGATGATTCTCATACCAAGGATTTGTTTTGCAGCCCCCAAATCCTTCATTGCAAACTGTTTTGACAACTATTTCTTCAGATTGTTAATCTCCTCAATGCTAGACCCTGCAATGAGCATATCATCCACATATAACAGTAAAATGATGTAAGAATTGCCAAAGAACTTAACATAACAACAATGATCAGCTTCACATCTCTTGAACCCAGTTCTATGCATAAAACTGACAAATTTCTTGTACCACTGTCTTGGAGCTTGTTTTAAGCCATACAAGTTCTTTCTCAGTTTGCAGACTAGATTCTCTTGTTCCTGAACAACGAACCATTTTGGTTGAATCATGTAAATGTCTTCCTCCAAGTCACCATTTAGGAATGCCGTCTTCACATCTAACTGCTCAAGATATAGGTTTTCTGCAGCCACCATTCCCAATACCAGTCTAATTGTTGTCATCTTCACAACTGGAGAAAATATTTCTGAGAAGTCAATGCCCTTCTTCTGCTGGAACCCTTTGACAACTAATTTGGTTTTATACCTCTTGCTACCATCATGCTCATTCTTAATTTTGTATACCCATTTGTTGTGCAAAGCCTTTTTCCCTATTGGCAATTCAGTCAGTTTCCATGTCTGATTTCCCAACAAGGATTTTATCTCATCATTCATGGCTAACTCCCACTTGCTTGAATTTTCATCCTGCAAGGCTTCACCATAACACTCTAGCTCGCCACCATCAGTCAACATGAGGTAATTTAAAGTGGGTGAATAACGATGTGGAGGTCTAATGATCCTGGAAGATCTACATACATCAGCTACATGTGTACTCTGATCTACCTGTGATTCTACATTTTCTTTATCTTCTTCACCCCTTTTCTGGACAGTACTATCAGTCAATTCATCTAAGTTGACAAACTTAGATTTCCTTTGATTTTTCTCTGTGACATCTGACACTACAGTGACATGTCCTTGTACATAACCTATTCATTAAATATCACATTTCTACTTCTGATGATTTTCCTGTTCTGTTCATCCCAAAAACGATAGCCAAATTTTTCATCACCATAACCAATGAAAAAACATATTCTAGACTTTGCATCAAGTTTAGTACAAGCATCAGAATCAATATGAACATATGAAATACAACCAAAATCTTTTAAATAGGAAAACTTTACTTCTTTATCACTCTATACCTCTTCAGGAAGTCTGAACTCCATGGGGACTGAAGGTCCTCAGTTTATCAGGTAAGCTGCAGTACTAACAGCATCAGCCCAAAAAGTCTTTGGTAGTCCAGCATGCAACCTCATACTCCTACCACGCTCATTGAGAGTTCTATTCATGCACTCAGCCACACCATTTTGCTATGGCATCCCAGTAATGGTTTTTTTCATCCTGATTCCATGTGCAGCACAATACTCACTGAATCCTCCATCTATGTACTCTCCTCCATTGTCTGACCTCAAACATTTTACTTTCAACCTGTTTCTGTCTCAACCATAACCTTCCACTTCTTAAAAGTATCAAATACATCAGATTTATTTTTCAGAAAATAAACTCAT